CTTCTCCTAAGTTCTACCTCTTAAAAGTCCCTCTACTTCTTAACATTGCCACACGAGGACCAAGCTTCTGGCACAAGAACACCAGGGGGACAAACCACATCCAAACTTTAGAAGGCTGGCAGAAGTTTAAAGAAATACAAGTTCAAAGACCTTTTCTGTCTTATTCATTGTTGTGTTCTGTTGCCCCCGTACCTGGTACATGGTCGTGCTCCACAAATGTTTATGGAATGTCATCTGTATAAATGTTTCTGTGAGACTTCATTGAAGTAGTTGGTGCATGGAATTGACAGTGAATGCAAAAGGACAGCTACTTCGTAAGGTGCATCTCATGGTGGCCAGGGGCATTGGAAGACTAGAGTCCTTTGTATCAGAAATAACCACGTTGAGGATGACGTTATGTTGAGGAGAGGAGCAAGGTATGTGACAAGGAAGGTGGAAGGCAAGAGAAGAAGCTTCTGAGATATCAAAGAAATGTATACCTGATGCTGTCGAATATATGACCATCCCCATCTGTGACTCTTACACAGACTATAGGGAGGCTCCATCAATATTGGAAAGGCTCATTTAACTGAGATCTCTTGTGACTTGGGAATTCTATGATTTGAATGCGTTTGAAACTGAAGGCAGGGGTGATTTTCAAGATCATTCTGACCTAAACTCCTAAGATATAAGAATTAAAGTGGAGAGTGCTAATGAAAAAGTCTTCTCAGAGCTTCTCTGGGCCACTCTTAAATGTTCCCTGAAGCAGAGAACGATTTCCAGGGGGAAAATGTGAATCAGTCCATTTTGAAATTCTGTAAAATGTGGATGATAACAGCTCCCCATCTGTGCGTGTCTTTCTTTGTGCCAATTTTCCCCTTTTTAAAAGGACACTCATTATGTTGGATCAGGGTCCATCCTAATAATCCATCTTGACTACATCTGACCTTATTTGGAAATAAGGTCACATTCTGGGGTGCAGGGGATTAGGACTTCAACATAATTTATTTTGGAAGAGGGCACTGTTCAATCCGCAGGAGAAAGTGAGGGCCAGGGTAGGGCACAGGGAGTAAATGAGAGCTCTGTACTTCCTATTTAGTTTTTCACTGCTCTAGGAAATGAAGTCTGTCAATCAAAAATTTAAAAGATTTAAAAAATGGTCCATCCCATAGTACATACTCAGATAGTAGACACTCAGTGAGTGTTAGTTACTTTTGGAGGCCGTGTTAACTTACTCAGTGTCCCTGATACAAATTTTACTCTTGATGTTCTAAGGCCAATATTGGCAATACCCCCAAACCCCAAGGACCACCCAAGACCCACATATATCTACAGGGGGTCACAATCCCATAAAGGAGTAAACAATTCTGTGAATATAAAACATCATAGAGTATTTCTTGGTTTAAAGACACTTATCTGAAATTAAATTAAATATTTTAAAGTTAGATAAATAGATAAGTACACTTTAATTCTCAACACAGGGAGGAAGTTGGAGAAGAAAAAGAAGTATCAGAGAAAGAAAAGCAAACAAAACATAAACAAAAAGCATAAGAAATACTACTAAAAATTCCTTTTTTTTTTTTTTTGGTACCAGGGATTGAACCCAGGGATGCTTAACCACTGAGCCACATCTCCAACACTATTATTATTATTATTATTATTGTTATTGTTATTATTACTATTATTTGAGACAGGTTCTCACTAAGTTGCTGAGGCTGGCTTCAAACCTGTGATCCTCCTGCCTCAGCCTCCCTAGCTGCTGGGATTACAGGCGTGCACCACCACACCCAGCAATATTCTACTCTTGAAAAAAAGTAGAGAAGGAAAGAGAAGAGGCAAAGATTCAGGAGGCCTTCAGGGCTGGCCAAATATGCAGGGACACACTTCTTGTCACATCTTGCCATTCACCTAGACCACAAGCTTTTTCCAAAAGGCAGGACAGTGTGCTAAGTGATTTGAAACCTGTAACAGTGACCTATCACTTAATTACCATAAGAGTGTCCTGTTTAAAGAAAATCCAATACATGAGAAACCACACTGGACACACAGATAACATTGGTGGGCAATGGGCAATGGTTTATCTGCCTTTGTAAAGGGCTTTTTTTTTTTTTCTGTTTTCACTTTATAAAAAGAGTCACATCAGAGGTCTTTCAATAACATAACTACAACTGTCCCCACACACAAATTCTGATTTTTGTAAAATTTTTCAAGAAGTCCCCTGTCGCATACATCGGTGGATACCTCCTCCTGGGGCCTGCCTTTTTCTTTCCTGCTGCCTGTCTGTTTGGTACGCCCGAGAGCTTCGTGGTTTTCAGAGTCTCTCTGGGTTGACATTTCTTCACTTCACTGCTTGAGAGTTTTTGTTTCCTAACCAATGTGGCTGGAAAGAATTCAACACTGACTGGGGGCAGGGGAGGAAATGAGGGATTACCAGCTGGGGACAAGGAAGCTGCTGCTTCCAAAAGAGAAGAGAAAATTTTTAAAAATCAGAGTTCTACCTAGACCTGGCTCCTTGTACACAGGGATAGTGCAAGAGACCTTCAGAGGAGCTCTGGGAGGTAGAGTGTGTGGCTGAAGGGAGACCTCCAGCCCCATCCCTGGAGACCCACCAAGATCAATCTTCATACACATCCACCTTCTGTCCCTCGTACTGCACACGCACACACACACACCAGCCGAGAGTCACACCACACGGTGCACAGATGTGTTTTTGCTCTGTCTTCTCCCTCACTTGCAGCCACCCCATATCCATGCAGCATAAGCCAGAAAGGCTCTGGTCTGAAGCACTGCAGGCAACACCAGCTCCTTCTCTCTTTTTCTCTCCCTTCTCAGTGCCCCCACCTCACTCTGAGCTGCATTCCAACCCTAGGGAGCTTTTCTATGGTTGGAAAAGAACAAAAAGTGCCCAAGGATTCACTAAAAGGTGAGGAGTAGGAGGAGAGAATGGGTACAAGAAAAGGAACTCACAGAGGTAGAGATCCAGCAAGGATGGTCCACCAAAGTGTCCACGAGATGCTGGTCGGTTGCACTTGCCTTTGAGTTCTGCAGGATATCACCCACCTCTGCAAATCAAGTGCATCGGGGCCTCCTGGGATGGCCTGTTTCTTAGCACCTCCAAAAGAGGTACAGGTGGAGCCCTGCAGGAGGCAGATACTCTCCAAGCTACCTGGAAAATTCAAGAAAAGTAAAATAGTTTGCTGTCAACAGACTTTTCTCCCATTTCTGTTTGCTGTCGTTATCATTATTCAAGAGGCTATTTTGAGGGTAACAAAAGACTATATTGAAGAAGAAAAGAGACAACCCACTCCCTCACTGGACCCAGCCAGCATTTGTACCCAAAATTGGGTCCTCACCATCCACACAGCTGCCTCACACATCAGCACTGTGGTTGGAACAGGAGCTCAYGCCAGGAGAGAAAGACTCTCAGACAACCTTGTAGAGGACTTCAAGTCGGTTTTTTTTTTCATTCTAATAATTATGGGGAGATCAGACCCCAAAGTGTAGAGAAATGCATTTATGGTTGATAAAAAAAAAAAAAAAACTGGTTGTCTTCTTCATCACCAGCCAGTCTTAGGAAGTCCTCTTGGTCAGAGTGAAAYAGAAAAACAGATTTCCAACTTTAAAACCCCCAATAATTTGAATTCCTAAAGATTTCTGATGCAACTTAAATAATACCCTTGAGGATAAGAAAAGTGTCTATGTGGGGGGTAATCAAACATTGTATGTTGTTGTTGTTGTTGTTTGAGAGTTGGGTTTTTTTTTTTTGGCTGAGATTTTGTTTCTGTTCTTGTGGGGATTTTTTAAGAGAGGAAAAAAATACATCTTGAAGAGAAAAGAATTTGACACTTTATTTAAGAAAGTTTCTGCAACTTGGCTTCAAAACCTAAGTTTTGCTTTGAAGGATGCCATCAGGTGATGGCTTGGGGCTTTCACAGCGCCTGATTTTCTTACACAGGGCAAATGGCTCATCTTGTGTGCACAGAAGGGGCTGGAAAATATTTTTTTGTGATCGGAGTGCAGCAGAGAGCCTAGGATTCCAGAGGAAGTGGAGACCTCCCGCTCCACACAGGAAACGATCTCCAAGCAGGCTTTAAATGCCAGATTCCAGGCTGAGTTTAACTAACCACTGACAGCTCTGTAAACAAAGCAAGGACAAAAAGAGCCCGCTTCCCCTTTCCCGTAGTCATTTTGGGTTTGGGGGCTGCAGGGGAATTCTGGAAGGCTTGACTCCATGGCACAGAAACACAGGGGAAGCGGGCTCCTTATTTGAAGAGCTTTGGAAAAAGAACATCTTTCTGGACTTAAAATCATCACGGAGGAGGTAGGAAAGGGTAAAATGGTTGGATTCCATCTGTAGAAAGAGCCGGGATTTTTGAGCTCTAAAACCAGCTTGGTCACAATTTAACTACTTTTAAAAACACTGCTTTGTGATGTTTATTTTCAGCAAAATTATTGCTGCAGTCATTATTCAAATCCTGATGCTAATACTTTGAGAATATGCAAATGATGCCTAGATCTATGCCGTACCATTCTATTTCTCCCTTATTTAATTCCTTATTTCTTTTCTTGCCACTTACACCCCCCAAACACACTTTTATGTGCACGTGCACACACGTGCACACACTCTTCTCTGTTTTTCTCTTTCTTTGTTCACTTTTCCACAACTTTTGTCTGGGATTCAGCCAATTACCAAGAACAAAAATCATTCAGTAGCTCTCAGGTTATTCTACCATTATGTCAAGTCTTTAAAGCCTCTCTGTCTCCTCAGGTCTGTTATTATTATCATTTTTAATGTGATCCTGGGATCTTACTTATTTGTTTCTAATAGTTTCAGAAATGAGAGTGGCTTTAACTCAGCTGGGGAGTCAGAAATTGATCACTAGCTATCCATCATCAGTCTTCTATGGTATTTTTCTTAGGAGGAAAGAAAAAAATGAAAAACTGGAGGGAGGGTTAAAGCCATGCCCGGGAGGTACTAGTCGAACTTGTCCATGATACTGACTCTGCCTCCTTCCTTTTAGATCCAGACACCATCTGGTCTCCCTAAGACTGAACCCACACCATGGATGATTTTGAACGTCGCAGAGAACTCAGGAGGCAAAAGAGGGAGGAGATGCGGCTGGAAGCAGAAAGGTAGAGATCCAAGTGGACACAGCCTTGCACTTCATGATTCACACTGTTGGTTTCAGACCTCAGAGACTGTTCCCTCTGAAGGGACAAACGTGGCCATATTGCATGCCAAACTGTTTGCAGAAGTAGCTGAGAGACATTTTCCCTAACTGTTAAGACTAAATTTTGCATTAAAAAAAAAAAAAGAAAAGAAAAATCTTGGAGAAGAATCAAATAGTTGTGTTTAATCGGTGCTTTTCATGGGAGAACCTTGAATGACCGACTATATGTGAATAGTGATTTTAAAAGTACTGATGATACTGAGATGATAGGAAAAAATGCCAAATATTGAGTATTGGAAACATTTAGGAAATGGGGTCTTTCTTCCAAAACAGTAGAGACAGAAAGCCCCAGGTGAATCTTGTGATAATTCTTTTTTCTTATTAGAAAAGCATCCAAGTCAGGTCTCTGTGTAGTAAAGGTTGACAGCCAGTGAACTGTATTACCATGGAGATTGTGGGTGTGGTTGGAAGCAGTTAGTGCTGTACTGGTGACCTGAATGGCAGGTTGGGGGGATAAAGAATTGGCCCATGACATTCCAGGCATAGATGTCTATTTTAACATTTTAGGCCTCACAGCAAAAGACAGTGGCATTTAACATGGCTAAAAATCAGATGTTCTTTTGATAGTTCAGGAGTTTTCTCCTCTCAATAAAGAGTTGTTAATTGTCCCTCTCATTTGTGATCACAGGAAGAAAACTGTTAAAACACTGCTTTTAAATTCAAACCAGTTTTGCTTCCCAATTGTCCCCAGTGCACAGATGAAAAGATGGTGGCGAGAAGATCCCTTCACGATCCTGCAGTAGGAAATTGAACTTATACCTGTAGCAAAAAGTATTGAGGGCTTGATTTATAGAAAGAATGAAAAAGAAGATAAAATGTCTGCCTTGGATTGACTTGGCCAGGGTGGGTTGCCATTCATGGAATGTCTGTGCACATACACATGGCCCCATGGATGGTACCTGTGCGCTATAGGACCAAACCCTAGCTCTGCTACTTAACCCGGTTACCATGAGCAAATGACTTCTCTTTAAGCCATGGTTGCCTTTATTTATCAAATAGGCATGATGTTTATGTAGCTTGTATGGTTGTCAGGAAGATTATTGAACTTCCTAAGTGACTTTGCCCACTACCTGGCAAATAGTGCCACGAATGATAGCTTTTGTTATTATTATTACTAGCCATTATTACTAGTTAAACAAGTAAAAAACAACATCATGATAGAGCTGGAAATAAATATTACTGCCAAGAGAAGGAAAGGTAGTCATTATCCTGGGACACAGCTAGTCAGAAAAAGCTTTTTGGAAATAGCAAGGAAGTGTGGGAGGAAATGTTGATGGTGATGAGGAGTGAAAAGAAGGCTGTCTAGGAGAGGAATTGACACCACAAAAGCTCAGAGGGGAAATAAGAATCCTGGTACCATAAACCTGTCAGGTGCTGGAGGAACAGGGGTTGGTCTAGTACATCCTCAGTGTTTCATGTTAATGGAATAGAAAGAGACCCAACAAGGAAGTTATATGGGTTAAAGTGTGTTGGGAAAAATCGTCTACAGTAGACTAGAATATGGAGATCCCTGYGCCCGTAGAGTTCATAGTAAACTTAAGGTCATGGGGGCCTGAATCTGGACAAGTGACTATGGAAATGGAGAGAGGTCACAAATGAGAGGGACAATTAACAACTCTTTTATGAGCGGAGAAAACTCAAAGACAATTCCAGAAGCTGTCAGCCCGAGGAGCTGACAGGAAGGTTTCTCACTGTCCTCTCTGGGGAAGCAGGGAAGGATTCCATTCTGGATGGTCTTGGGAATAGTGTTTAATTTCAGGTAAGCTTTATCCAAATGGAGATATCCTCCCAGGCACTTGGAGATAGGGAATGCCAATCTTCATTCAGAAAGGAAGAGGAATTCTTATTGGAAAAATAAATCTGGGCAAACTTCAGAAGATGGTAGTAATGGTGGTGGTGTCAAAGCTGAAGTGATATCCCAAGAAAGCAAGTATGCAAAGAGTGATATATCCTAAAGACATAATAGAAACCGTCAACAGAGACAGAAGATCAGGAAATGGGGGAGAAGCAGGCAGGGGATGAGGCCCCGTGGGGAGTGGACCTCAAGGCCCATAGGCAGTGTCTGGGCTGTGCTGTTTGGGCCTCAGGTTCTCCTGACAGTCTGCAGAATATCCTGACCCAACCCATACTTATTAACCACCAATCAGGTTTCAGGGTCTGTTCGAGGGATGTGGGAAATAATTCTGATACATGGAAAGACATAGTTTTTGCCTTCATGGATCTCAGGACATGCTAGGAAACCACGGGTCAGGCCAGAGCGCAGGGGCCTGACAGAGTCGAGGCTGATGGACTCAGGAAGGGGGACATGGTGGTGAGGCACCGTGTTAGATCATCAGGTTGGTTTCTTCAGCTTCTTTGCTTTCTACATCAATAGGGGGTGAGTGAATCATTGTGAGAGGAGTGACAGAACCAACTTGCTGTGGTTAGAGCCAGGCTGTGATTAGAATGAATAAACCACATTTTTTCAGACTCAGGACTTTGCTGAAGAACTGACCACATAGCTACTCAATTGGTTTCCTCGGGTTTTATGTTTTTCATTTTGTTTTTTAAATTGTGTGTGTGTGTGTGTGTGTGTGTGTGTGTGTGTGTGTGTAAGGATTTGTCTTCTCTTGATGTCATTCTTATAGAAAGCTTAGTGTGGTACCCTTAATAACCTCAAATAAATTCACACAAGTTTATCCTAACCTTTTTTGCTTACATTTCTGTCTGCATTACTTATTTTGGTGTATCACGTTCCATTTGTTTTCTTCTCTCTCTCTCTCTCTCCCTCCTCTTTATTTCTTTATAAGAGAGAGAGGTAAAGGACTTCCTTATATTTGTACTAAGTTTACCTTTCCATGTTTCAAGGTGGACCTTCAGTTCTGTTATTCTAGTAAGTCCATGTTCCCCTGCAGGCTTTTATAAAACCTGATCATTCACAGGAGCAGCACAGGTCAGGCCTTGTGGTCCAGCCAACTTTAATGGGAAAGTGCAGGGTGTGTACAGGAAACAGATGGCCAGAACCAGAAAGCCAGGGTCATCTAAAATCATGGTTCTGATTTGAAGACAAAGAGCCAGTGGGACCCTGGGCAAGTCCTCCTTCCTTTAGGTCTAGACCTTGGCTTCCTCCTGTCACACAAGTGAGTGTTTCCTCAAGGGAAGTGATGGTCAGTTTAAATTTTCTTTTGCTTTTAGGATTGTCTAAGTTTTTGTGATGATCTTATATTACTTTATTTTAAGACGAATAAACCATGACGGTTTTCCATACCTGCCCCCCAAGAAAATAATGATATTTCTGTGACTCTGTGAAGTATACCTAGTACCAAAAGCCTAACTTTTCTTTGGATATAGGGACCCAAAAGAAAGCATTTGTCCCAGATCTGGAATGACAGTGGAGTATATTAGCCAAAATAAGTGGTTCCAAGACTCAGGTCCATGCATTCATCCTCAACACATTTTTATTGAGCATCTATTCTGCTCCAAGCTCTGAGTTCTGTGTTCAAGGCACTGAGAATAGACGAAGAGAATGACAGAAATGGAAAGAGCTTGCTTTTCAATCTAGAGAAAGCCAGGTAATGATCAAGAAACTATATTTTTATCACTTAATATAATGTGTACCCTGATAGTGGCCCACACATTAAAGATGACTTCTACCTTTGCGTGCTGCACCTCTGCATTCCTGTGGGGGAAGGGGACCCCACAGAGAAGAAAAAGTCCATTGACCTTCCTTGCCCACAGAGGCTTTTCTAATAAAATACCTTGTTGTTTTAATTTGTTGCCATTCAGTTTGCAGTGATAAATAATTTAAAGTTGTTCTCTCACTGGTTGTCATAACCATAAATTAAAATAGGCCAGATTTTTAGACATTTTGTTCTTCAGAAATAGAATTTTTAAATATCATTTTTAAAAAACAACTAATTGCACATGTATACTTAGCACATGGGGGCTTTCATGTGCCTGGGGCTGGAATTCACTTACTGCACCATGGCTGCCCCAAGCTCTGCCTTGCACAGATCTCATTCTTAGGTTTGAGCCCAGTCCATCTTGAATGATCTAGCTTTCCAACAACCTAGACTGCAAACCTAGGTCACTGAAAATATGCTTCCCCTCTTAGTCTTGTCCCCCAGCCTGCTCAACTTTTATGCTGGTCACGATATCCTTGTTCTTTGGCTTTCACACTGTAGGTTTTTGAGAAGAGGTCATTAGGTTTGGTAAAAAGAAGGTAATTCATTCAGTTATTTTATATATATATATATATATATATATATATATATATATATATATATATTGAATATCTACAAAGTGCAAGATCCTACACTGAACTATGGAGACCCATGGTCTCTAGTAGAGGCCAGATGTCTATAATCACAAAGCTCACCTCCTAGAGTCATCTTAACCCAAAGGGGAATAAAAAAACTTCAAGACACAGAAGGAARTGTGCAGGTAATCAGTGAAAATCCGTAATGCATTGTTCCTAGCAAAAGTCATTATTTGTACACATCTCATAAGAAACTATTTTTCCATCAATTACCTGTTAGAATGAATGAATAAATAAAATTTTAGTTTTGCTACATTTGTTCTCCATCTCTCTTATAAGAATAAAGCCTTACATAGATTTATTCTTCTTTCCTTTCTGTTTCTCTTTTCTCTCAATCCCCCTCGCTCTCTGCCTTCATCTCCGTATTCCTCACTGCACCCTTATGTAATTTCCTGAGGTCTCTGTGCATCTTCACCAACACTCGGTTCTTTGGTCTCTCTCTCTCTCTCTTCCTATATATACTCCTGAACCATCTATGCATGCACATGTGTTTGTGTCATAAGAGAATACATATATATAGTGGGAAGGAAAGGGAAGACATTTTCCAAGGGGTCATCTAGCTCTCTTTCCATTCAACAAGTACAAAAAAGTGCTAGGCCTTTTAT